GTTTTCGTGTTGTAATTACGGCTTTGGCCCCTTTTCACCGCAGCCACCCCATCGCGTAATTAACTTGTTGCTGGCGGAAAAGTTTTTTCGGATTTCCGGCTCTGTTTTTCGCATATGCAAAAAGGCAAAACGCACTTAAAACTATAATAGATTAGTCCGGGTCTCGTTCCGTTCGGTTCGGTATGGTTTTCAACTTGGGCGGCAGCAGGCAAATTAGCAAATTATAAAACATAGCATACTTTTTTGGGGCGGGGTGATTTCGTAGCTTTAACTGGTTAGTTGACGCTGCGGAAAAAATATGGTAGATCTAAAAACTAAAACTGTATTCAAGCGCAGTCAAAAGCCGATTTAAGCGGTAAACTGAAAATAGCAGAATAAAACATAACGGGTAATACAAAATGACAAAAAATAGTAAATAAATTAAACTTTTTGGCAGCATCAGCTATTCACAATATTTGCATTTGAAGCGCATTTCAAACTTGTTACTGCGGCAGCCGTAAATGCTGTAAATGAGAAAAAAAAAAACAAAAGGATAAGCTCGGTTCGGTTAACAAGCAGGGGACAAATGCTCCTCACAGGACATCACACAGAAACAAAGGCAAATACTTACTACATACATACAAACAAGCCTGGAAAATTCAATCAAATATCGTAGATAGATACATGTACATTTTTAGAGGATATCAAATTTTCAAAGGGGAACGCAAGTAAACTTTCACTAAATTCCTTTGGTTTACCAGTGTGTGTTTGTTGTAAGTGTGTGTGGTGGGTGTGTATGTGACTGGGCTATAGAGTCTGTTTCTTCCAGCGCGCAGAAAAAGTTGAAGCAGTATTCTAAATTCTTTTTAGATGTTCTCGTTCTTAAGCGTTTCGCAGTTACTTCAAAAGCAACTTCACCTAGAAAGCTTCTCGCACTACAAACTTGCCAACTATATCAAAAAAAATGTGTATAGATGTATCTTTAGGTATTAATGTGTGTGTGATTTGGTATTAAATGTGTGTGCGTGTCGGTTAAATATCTGGCGGAGAATAGTCTCCTCTATGTTCAGCAAACAGTCAAACATATTACATTGCGGATCATATTTCCTGCTGTTATAAAAAAGAAAGAAAAAATTGTTTGAAAAGAAACAAAAAAGAATTCCGGTTAATAACATTATCTAGCCAAAAGTTTATGCGTGTGTTTGGATCCACGGACTAAGCAGATCGGATGCCCAATCGATAGTTATCGATATTTCCGATCTCGCTTAATCTCGTCGATCGAAGCGATTATAAAAGGACAAAAAAATCTAAACAATCAAATAAAAAAAAAAAAATGGTGGATATTAGACACACTTAGCATCTATATAGCAGATATCGTAGTTTTCGTAACTTTACCGCTAGAAATGTAATAAACAAAAGCTAGGAATTTTTTCTTTTTTATTTTTTGGGAGGGGTGGTGCACCAGCTTACCTTAGAAGTGCTTTCACATAGCTTTACCATCATACCACATGCCTCAGAAGCCATACTCGAGAGTTATATATGAATGTGAACAAACGCAATGTACGAGTAGTAGTTATATCGGTCTCGATAGCGAGCGAGATAGATATATACATTTATTATATATATCATAGAGGGTAGAAAGAGACAGCCACTTGCAACGTCACTGCTTGATAATCATACTCATAGTCATATCGGAATACTTGCTACAAAAAAGTTCGGTTTCATTGAGCACATGCTGAAAAATTACAAATTACGCTCCAATCGAAAAGATAGTACAACGATAGGAAATCAAATGAAACACAAGTAGAAATTCCAACTAAATTAATATAAATCATAAATAAATATATGATCTGATCGAAGAACAGCAGTTTTGTAGATGTCAGTTAAGTTCCCCGATAACTTCTCCAAAAAAAAAAAATCTGATGAGGTCCCTAGAATAGAATATAGTCAAAGGCAATGTCTGTTTTTTGTTTGGTTAGGGACAGAAAAACCTTAGCTGTTCTTTATCAGCACTCTTGAATTTTGTAATATACTCAAAGAAAAGCTTCAACTTGAGTTTCGGTAGGACCATGCTAAGAGGAAGAAATATTAAAGACTGAAAGTATTTATCTGGTGGCATCTATAGAATATAGTTACTAAGTGGCTTGCTTGAATAAGATAATCTTAGATTAAAGTAGAGCAAAATGTTGGCAAAAACTAAAAAGAACTTGAAGCATTTTCTTTGAAAACATTACAATAAGCGCTTAACTCTAGTAAGTATATTGAGTATATTGGATATATTGACAATATATATATATAGATCAATCCATAGACAAGAACAGCTTTAGTCAAAAACATTACAGATATATAATCTCTGGTTCATCCAGCAAGCCATGTGTATTTTTGAGTTCTACCAAAGGAAATTGGGTGTGTGTGTTTGGGTGTTTTGTGGGTGTGTGAGACATAGTTAAGAAAATATATATAGTTTTAGCGTAGAGCAGAGAGCACATTGAGTTTACAAATGCCTAGACAATTATCAAGGAGGATCGTTAATCAAAGAAGCGCTTGAGGAAAAGATATCGAGGAAGCTTGTCCTAACTAAAGTCATAAGCAAAATGAATACAATCCAACTGAGGTGTAAAATCATATATATACCAAATAAAAATTAAAAAATTTGGAAAATATTTAATTGAGAAACAGCCAACAAAGAGAGAGATAGAGAGAGAGAGAAAGAGACAACGCACAGCAAACTGTTGTATGGATTAGTAGTGGGTGAGAAAGATAGAATGTTAGTTTTGGGTTGATCACTTTCCAAGTTCGAGTAAAAGAAGCCAACAACTTGTTTTACGGTTTTTACAATAAAACGTATATAATATAATTTCAATATAATTTTTTGTCTTTATAATAATACGACTAATGTTAGCACAGATATAACATATTCATTAGTGTTTTGCTTGTGTTTAGATGTGTGTATAGATATATATTGATATATATTTCGTAATATATATTTTTTGTGAATGTCATGAATACTTTTTAGCTTCGATATTCTTGCTCTCTTATTCGACATGCAATTTGTCATACTTTTCGATCACTTTTTGTATATGGGATTGAATGCAATATGAGAGCCTGGCTTTAAACTTTAAACCCTACAACTCATTCGGTTTCTCTCAGTGTATGATGTGAGTGTGTAATGGTCGGTTTTTGACTACAAATCAAAAGGAGGCAACTAGGTGGATACGACTAAACTAGAATTTCTATTGGACGGTACTGTACTTCTGTCTGTTATCGATTTGTTGAGGGGGCTCGAACACCCATTCGACTATATCTGAATGGCACACAAGGCTCTCTAAATGGTTCCATTTAATATTCATATAATTGTTTGTTGTATATTCAAAATCAGCCTAACTCATTGTTATCCTAATGTCAACTGACAATTCATTGCTATATTATTGCATTTATTGTTAACATACTGGTTTTCTGGTGTCTGTTTGTTTGCTGTGTTTTTTTTTTCATTGGTTTTTTGTGCAATGCAAAGTTGAAAAGAAGCGGAATAAATATGAGCTCTTAGATTTGAAATGTAATTTAGTTATTTCTTGGCGCCATGCAGTGGTGAGTGTGTTGGGCTTTCTTTCGGTTCTACTCCCATTAGTTCATAGTTCGAGAGCGTTTTCTCTTTCTAAATTTAAGTTTTCGTTGCTGAAATTATGGGCCAAAGGCAACAGTTCTACATTTGTAACGAAAAAAGTAACCATACGACACACATAGATAATGTTATACTTTTGGGCAAGACATTGAGATAAATGATGGATATAGTATACTTTTATTTAGTTTAGCTTGCTATACGTATTTATATGTTGATCAATAATATTGTATTCGGTTGCCACAGTCGGGTCGCTGCATGTTTTGTAAGCATCTTTCTTATCGAGTAAATATAGTAAGCCAAGCATTAGCTGGCCATAGGCATAATAGTATGTATGTTAAGATATTTGGTATATTTAGATTTTACAACTAATTCTCTACCGTTAGCGTACTCATTTTGCTTGCCATTATTCTAAGAGCTAGAACATATAAGATGGGTATGAGAAAAATCGGATGTCCCGTCGGGACTAAAAGCACGAGTGAGGAAAGCGGGTTAGAGGAGAGAGTCAGGCAGTCCTAGAAGATAATGTGAGTGTTTCGGTGTGGAATCGAAAGGAATAGCGAAAATAAATATTAATAAAGTTGGGAATTCAAAGCTCTGGCAGTGGGAAATAGGAAAAAGTGCTGCTCTGCCCAAAAGCAATGCTTGTGCTTTCGTTTTTTTTGATCAGGATCGGATATATCTAGATATGGAAGTAAATTAAGTCAGAAGTGAAATGTAAAAGCGGCACAACAGAAAACGAATATCAATTGAATACCATAATAAGTAAATCAAATAAAGTAAAATACCAACACACAATATATAATATATTTTTTTTGTTTTTTCGTAAACTATATATTTAGATAAACACACTGTATTTCAAATAAAACATTAATAAAACTATCAAAACTAGACTAAAATTAGGATTAGAATTAGGATAAGAATTAGTGGCAAACATCAAATCGTTGTAAAACATTAAAAGTCCTTTAATTAAAAACAATTTTACAGAGATTATCATATATATCGAATAGTGAAGTGTACAGGATGTTCTCGGATGTGAAGGATATATCTGTAGCGGGGTGCAGGGTGTAGGCAGGGGATCTAGGGCTTGAGGTGCGCAAGTCAGTGGCAATTTTATTCTTGTATCGCATTGTTTCTGGCAATCATATCTCGTTGGGGAACACACGTTAAAAAATTATATAATAGCTACACTAAAAACGTTTTTTTAAATACATAAAATATATATAAATATCAACGTAAGAATTACATAGAAAAGAACGTAATGAAAAACTGATAATCACACGAGATCTAATATTAAAACTTATTTATGTTTGTCAATGATTTTATTTCTTGCTTAACAATTCGATTACAGAAAGGAAAACATTTATAATACATCGAAATCGAAAGAGTGTATGAGGGGGGGGCATGATGGTTGGATTTTGATAGGATTTTGATAAAGAGATAGAGAGAGATAGTCGTTGAAAATCAAGAGGTTTTACATAGTTCTGGTCAACGGATCAAAGTTAAATCTCGATAACAAAATATTAACATAAATCAATTTTGCTGGCTTAACAGTCAGAAGTAGTGTGTCAGTGTGTGGGTGTGTGTCTAGTGTGTGTTAGAGTGAAACGGATAGAGAGACGTGATCGTGATTTTGAATGGTGACTGTACTGTGATCTCAGATTAGTAAGCTAGTCATACGATTTACAGATCGATCCTGGTCATGTTTATGCTTTTTTTTTCTATTTTTCTATAATTGTTTTTTTGTTGGTATGTGGTAGGGAAGGATGATAATAGTGTGCTAGAGTACATAGTGTGAGTGTATATATCGTATTGTATATGGGTAGCAGCATACAGCACGTACAGCTAGGTGTAAATATGTATATCATATAGGTAATCTATATAAACTAGACAATATTCGTTATGCATTTCTCGTTGCTCAACAATTTTAAACAATTACAACAGCATTCACGCTAGCTAGCTAGCTCGTTTAGTATTATTAAGAGACAGCGATATGGGGAAAGAGAGAGTCAGTGCATGATGATGGGCGGGAGCCTTAGAGAAAGTCAGCTATACTAGCTACCGCCATGATTAAAGCATCCAGCAACAAGCACACACAACTGTACCCAGCATCGGCAGCACCACCAGAAATCTGTTCTCATATTCGTTCATCATTATCATTGCAATGGCAACATCCTTTTTGACCCAGGAAAGCTTTTCGCTATCACAGTTCTTCGTTGTGGTTTCATCTCTCTCGATTTCTGTCCTTTCGGTAATCGTTAATCGGTAATCGGTAATCGTTTCTCTTTGTGACCTCTATCTAAAAACTAGAGTTGACTAATTGCTATCCGAGAAAGGAACTTAGGTAGTACTATCAACTAACTTCTGCTTCGATTCTGTTCGAGTGTGATGCTTTGAAAGCATCTGTTTTTCGTTTCTTGTGCGAAAATGGCAACACTTTTTAGTCACAGTGAGGTTATGTAGTTCGTTTGTTTTGTTGTTGTCCAGTAACTTAATGGCAAATTATCAATTAACGTTTATTTTTTGTTGCAAGATTTGGGCATTCGTTTAAGGTTAGTAGTATCGATCTACGATCTGATCTTGCTATCGTGTCATGGGTCGTTCTCTAACGCTATGAGGCCTATGGTAAAGTTTAAACTAAAGTCTAAGAAACGCTTCTCTCCACTTCTCGTTCTTCAAGAAAACTGAGGCACATGATTTTACGTCTTCGATGTGTCTAAATCTAATTAAGTTTGACATATAGTCTTAAGTACAATTGTAAGGTTTTCGGTTTTAGTAAGTCTCCGGTTAGCTCCTTATGAGGTCTTCATTTTCTTGTAGGGATTCAGAACCATGGCGCTGCCCTGCGAGCCCCCTTGTGCGGCTGCAGCAGCAGTGGCCGCTGCGTATTGCTGGGCCGCTGCAGCCTGGTTTGGTGGCATGGCATAGGCGGCAGTCGGGATCATGCCGGGATAGAAGTAGTTGGGAGCCGCAGCGTACTGCATGGGTGAGGGGGCGCGCAGCAGGGCAGCAGATGGATATTGACTGGCTGGAGCTCCGGCTCCGACAGCTGCGGTGCGTACCGGAGTTCCCGGCACTGGAGTGGACAGGCCGGAGCTGGGTAGCGAACCGAACTGCCGCAACTGGGCCTGGGCCTGAGCTTGGGCTTGGGCATTTATGGCTTGGGCCTGAGCCTGCATTTGAATCAGTGCAGCCATGGACACCTGCTGGGGCTGGGGTGCCTGAACGGGCTGTGGGGCAGCTGCACCTGTTGCAGCAGCGATATAGCTTTTGTTAAGGGTCATGCCGGTGTAGGCAGCAGCCGCCGAGGCAGCTGAAGATGCCACAGGCTTGGCAGCGGCACTGGCCACTTTGAGGGCGTAGTTCTTGTGGGCCACCTCCTTGGCCAGAGCGGCAGGATCGGGGTAGTAGCCGGCGGCAGTGGCAGCTTGTGGTGCCAGACCAGCAGCTGCGGCATAGGCGGCGTAGGCCTGCTGAGCGTAGACCGCTTGGGCCTGAGCTTGCGCCTGAGCGTGGGCCTGAGCTTGGGCCTGAACCTGGGCCTGGGCCTGGGCCTGAACCTGAGCCTGAGCCTGCTGTTGCTGCTGCTGTTGTTGGTGCTGCATCTGGGCCTGGGCATAAGAGGGCGTGGAGCTGGACAAGCTGACCATGGAGGAGGTTACCCCTCCATAGGGATACATATTTCCATAGCTATAGGCTGGCACGGCGTAGTTGATGCGCTGCAGGTTGGTCTGAGCCTGGACCTGGGTCTGGTAGGAAACCGGGGCAGCCGAGCTGGTCGGCGTGGGCAGGATGCCAGTGCTGTGGCCATTGGCCGAATAGTAGCCATTTTGCTTGGCATAACTGCGGGGGGTGGTGGGTGCTGCCGCGGGGGCGCCACTGTTGCTAGTGCTGTTCTCGGACTCGCCATTTGCCTCGTCCGGATGGATGGGTTTCAAGCCATTGGTAAGATTATTATTGATGTAGGACAGATAGTTGTTGTTATCGCCGAGGCCGTTCGGCAGGGGCAGAAGGCTTTCAGCCACCGAAGTGGTTGCACTCGGCGGTGTCAGCGAGGGAGGCGTTTGAGTGCCATTAGGGGGCGAGGCAGGTGCCGCTGCTGGGGCAGTGTCTGATGTTTCTGTATCGTCTGTTGTGGGTTTCGTTGTTTGTGTTGTATTACAATCGTTAGGAGAAGTTGAATTTTGATTGGGGTTAGGATTCTGAAGCGTTTGGTCACTGTCTTGATTGTTAGCTTGATCCGCTGTATTATTGTCACTGCCATCACCACCGCCAGCAGCAGAGGTGGCATTCTCGCGATCACTGTGATCGCGATCGGTATCGGTATCGGTTTCTTTATCGGGATCACGATCACTGTCGCTTGGGTTAGTGGGGGCTGTGGCATTGCTTGCTGTTGCGGTTTCTAATGATGCTGATGAGGATGATGCTGTTGTCGTTGTTGTTGTTGTTGATGATGTTATTATATTATTGGTAGTAGCAGTTACAGCATTTATGGTATTATTATTATTAATATTATTAATCATATTATTACTGGCTGTTGCTGTTGTAGTTGTTGTTGTTATGGCGCTACTTAATTGTAGTTGTTGTTGTAGTAATACATTTTGTTGTTGTTGTTGTTGATGTAGTTGTTGTTGTTGTTGTTGTGGTTGTACTGGTAGTTGTTGTTGTTGTTGTTGGGGATACTCACATGAGACTGGCACATATGGCTGCATTAACTGCTGATAGGCGGTCGCACCGGGCTGATAAACTGGAATGCCAGACTTTTCGGCAGCTGGACGTTTGAACGGCACCATGCCAGAGAATTGCTATAATATAGATTCACAAGAAATAGATTGGAAGAAAAGAAATTGAAAAAATATTATTAGAAGAATTCAAATTTCATTATCCTACCACTTAATCTACTCATAACCATTTACATAATAACAATTGCTTACAAACGAGCTTGCTTTTAATTAATTTTGATTTTCATATTCGCTTTGCTTGCTTTTTTTCGCCAATTTCTTTTCGTTTTGGGTGATAAGTTTAAAACAAAAGAATATAACAAAATCATACATATCTTTAAAATTAATAAACTTAAAAAATTTGACAAGATCTGCAACTAAATGAGTTGAATGTTGCGTGCAGCTTAGTGAAAAGTTCGAAAAAGACATGGATGGGACATAGTACATCTATAAGCCTAAAAGGTTTCAAAATATTTTCTTCGCATAATTTATAAAATTTTTTTTTGTTCACCGATCATCATGTGTGTTCAAAGTAGCTTTTAATAGGCATTTTTTTTATAGGCAACTCAAAGTTTATATGGTTTATATTATTTTATAGTATGCGTAAATTATAAGTTATTCATAAAAAGCAATCCAATTGACACGATTTTTGTAATTTATCGATCGAATTCGGTTGATTTTGATTGCATGCGGCGATCATCGAAAGTTTGGCTGGTTAGTAACATATCTCGATATATAGTTTTTATCGCTTTTCTTATGGATTGTCGGGCAGAAATCTTTATAATAGTATGTGTGTAGACTGCCTACTATACTGTAAGTGTCGGTTTTTCATTCAGTTTGGAGTACTTACGAAGTTTTCATAGTAAATGGAACCAACCGTTTTAACATCCATCTTTTTTTTGCATTTTTCGATTATTGTTGATTATGCAGTTAGTGTATGATTTGTTGTCGATTGTTGATTGGTGTTTCATGGGTTATCGTTATTTGATATAGTTTTGATTGTTTGATTGATTGATTGGTGATCAGATCGGGGTTAGCACACACATATCGCAGTTATTATTTAACGAGTTGTTGTTTGATTGATTTCGAGAGTTGTCAGTGATAATTGAGGTGGAGTTTTGAAACGAACGCAAAATATTTTATGGAATCGAAGAGAGCAAATGAAGAGGAGAGAAGAACACAAATGAAATTAGTGGATATATTCTGGGCACGGTACAGTGGAATTATCCAGATACATTGTATATACATAAATGGGTACACAGATACAAATACTTAGTCCTAAATAGGTGGATAATGGTGTGATGTCTTTGATAGTATTTGTGGGTGTAAGAGAGAGGCCGTGACGGGCGTGATGTAAACGGAAAACGGAAAATGGTAAACGGCAAACGGAGCAGGGATAAACAAAGTCAGCTGCAGGTGGTGCATGTTCAGCTAATTAACCAGGAAAAGCACTTAAACAATTAAGCTCGCGAATGCAATCAGCAGCGGAGGCGAAAGCGAAAGAAAGAAACTTACAGTTACCGTACCGCTAGTAGGTACAACTACAGATACAGATACAGTTACAGTTACAGATACAGTTATAGCTACAGCCTTGGCAATTATCGGTTAAATCATTTTAATTAACACTTGGCAAGGTAAAATGTGCTCGTGTTGTGATTGTGATTTATCATATGCCACGTGTAATTGGTTAAACTGGCGCTCTTGCCAAAGCGAAAGGTGTGCACTGTACAGGTATCTCAGTGCTGGTGTGGGTGTAAGGGTGAGTGCGAGGTTGTGTATGTGGGTGTTTGTCTGTGTATTGATTAGTGTGCGTCGGTGAGTGTTTGCGCTTTTGATATATCGGATAATGACTTCATTTTGTAAATTAAATGCCGGGGGGTTTCCTCCCCAGCCGAGCTGGCAGTGCTGATAATAAACGTTAATTGATGGCACTTTGATGTGCATGTGACTGACTAACTGAGTGAGTGAGTGGGTGGTCTACTGGGTGGGCTGGTGGGTGATGAATGGTAAGTGAGTGATTGAATGAATGAGCGACTGATGGTCTGTGGTTAGGTGAAAGTTGAAAGCATTTCACGTCAAGGAGTACAGGGATTGAATACGGAGGGTTCATAATTCAAATGGTTTTTCTTCGTGATCAGCAACATCACTCTTACTTTCTAATCAAAAATATATCAGGGATATCCTTTATGGCGATTTTCTACCCGCCCAAATGCATGCAACAAAAAAAAAATGTTAACTGTTTTCAACAACCAACAATGTCTTAAAACCAAGTTAGCCAAAATCAATTAAAACTAATTGAAACGAGTTAGGAAAACCAGGAAATAAAACGAAACGAAACAAAAACAAAATGGGGAATAAACTAAACCGGAAACCAAAACACAAATCGAAGGAAAAGAAAAATACCAGTGGAAACATATCAGTTGTGTCCGCCGCCCGCTTCTTGCCCACTTCCAGTGTGTGAGTGTGATGGTGGCCCATGACGGCGGCGGCAGCGGCGGCGGCGGCAGCAGCGGCGGCAGCGGCAGCGGCGTTGTTTGTGGTTGTTGTTGTTGTCGATGTGATTGCTGCACCTGCTGCGGCGTTACTGTTGTTGATGTTGTTGTTCAGCTGTTGTTGCAATTGTTGTTGTTGTTGCTGGTGATGGTGCGCCGTAACGGGTGAGGTCTGTGTATTTGTGTGTGTGTAAGAGTGTGTGGGTGTTTGTTCGGTCGTATTGGTGTGCGTATTTGGCATTTTTGTGGAAAATTAAAAGAAAAAATTTTCATCGAAAATGGAAATCAAAAAAAATTTTGAGAGGCAGAGAGAGAGGGACAAGTAGAAACGCATAAATATGCAAAATTATTAAAATATACAAGCATTTAAATGATGTGTCCATTAAATATTTGAGAGATTTCCATTTGAATTATTCAAGCGGCAATGGTGTTGGCATTTTTGTTTTTCCATCAAATTAATTTTATTTTTTTCAATTTTGCCATGAATAATTAATTAGTGTGTCCAATTTTGTAGTTTTTTTTCCCACATTTTTTTTTAAGGAATATTTTCCGAGGAAAATATTTTCATTTTAAGTGTTTTGTTTTGTGCGGTTTGTTTGTGTTCGTGTTTTTTTTTTTTTTTGCATTTGAAGTGTGCGTGTTTGTGTGGGGCGGGGTGGGTGTTTGAAGTGTTTGTTGATACCATCCATCGTAGAAGCGGTTACAGTGTGTGTGTGTGTTTGGGTGTATTGGCACAGGCGAACAGATGAAAAATACATAACAGTAGAAGAGTACGGAAGTGTTTTGATATCGATAAGTAAATAAATAGAAAAAACCAAATTTTACGTATATAGATTATATTTGTATATAGAGTAAATATGAATAAATCAAGTAGAAATCAATGGTAATTCAAATAAATACGATTTCCATTTGATATTTCAAGAGTCTTAAAACAGAATGTCGCAAATACCAACTAAATATGTTAAAAAATTCGTTTTAGTTTTTCATAAAAAAGCAAAAATCGAGTTAGTCTTGTGTGAGTGAAAGCCTATGGTGAGAGTATCTTCTCAGAAAAATAAGCTTGCGAAAGCCAGCAAAGTAAAGGTCTTCTTGTTTTCTTACATTCTAAATAAAACTTATCCACTCTCAGCTTACAATCTAACTTAGACATCGCAAATTCATTGGCTTGCCAACAAAATCAATTGCTTCACCAATTCCACGCTCAATTGATTCGCAAACTTTGACTTGACACATTCGCATTTTCTTTTTCGGGGGGAGCCAGTGGGAAAATAGAGATATGTGTGTCCTTATACCTACCGATGCATTGTTGCTGCTACACATTTATATAAAACATACATAACTTAATCAACAGTGACCTAAAATCATATACCCCAATGTATAGTTTTGAATCCACAGAGTTGCGCCCCAAATTCCCTTTCCAGGCTCAATGCTTATCACAATTGGGTTTCACTTTTCCCCGCATTTCCAGCCAAACTGGAAACACATGTGTGCCTTACAACCAAGAACCACAACATAACGCAAAAAAACCAAAACAAAGGACACTGGCAAAAAACTTAGCAAACATTTGAGCGCAGGTCATATGAGAGAGTGCACAAATTTGCATTTAAATGGAGCCGGCGAGGAAGAGTGGCAGCGGGTCAGAAGGTGCCAAAGAGGCAACCCAACTCTCTTGATCCTCTTTTTTTGTTGTTGTTGTTGACCTGCCCCGGGCTAGTGTCACTGGCAATGAATGCTACAAATGGATTAATTCGCTTGGGCGCGACAACTTCGTGGGGTGTACCCTGTACACTATATCTGTTCATGTAAGAGTGTGTGTGTGGGTATGTGCTTGTATTGGGGTCGAGTCCATAAAAAACCAGCAGGCAGGAAGGCTGGCAGGCACTGCAGACTCCGCCGGACAATTCATTGGCATGGAAATCTCTGCTTTTAGTTAATTTTCCGGTTCAAACGTTATCCGGCCCGACTAATCCATGTCGTTCGTGTCCGAGAGTCCATGTCCGTATTCGTATCCGTGTCCTGTACAGGTTGACATTTACATTTTTGGTCAGTTCGGTTCGAAAAAAGTGGACTCCTGCCGTGTGTGTTCCTTGTCCCATCGCCCACCATCCCTTCACAGCGTCCCCACAATTTTCACAGTTTCACTTTTCCTCCGGGCTTTGGTTTTCCTTTTTTTTTCTTGCGGGGAAACGCTCTTGTCACGCTTACATGCCGGGATTATAGTTTGTGGCAGGTGGCATATTTGGCAGGCGGTATTACACATCGAAGTTTGGGGCCAGATCCCCTTCGATACGGAGCTTTTTTTCTGACATATGGGGGCCGTTGCTCTGACCCAGAATGCCAAACGGCAATCATAATAAACACAACTTAAACGCTTATCAACGGCAACCAAAATAACACAGGGAAATCATATGAGGGTAAAATCATCGTGTATTCAAAGGCAAAGTTTTGTGTTTTGTCTGTTTTTGTATGTCGACTTTACATGAATATATATAGGAGGTTAAGTACATATATATTTAATGGACAAAAGGGAACTTGAGCTAATCGTTATAAAGAGTATGTATAAGGGTAAGGGGTTTTTTGGAACTCTGGGTTCTAAATCCAAAGTAATTGCCTGGAAAATATTTTTCCTCAGCATGCAGGACTTGGATTATGTACAAAGATTATCAGAAGGGTGAAGAACATATAACTTGGAACCAGTCTACAAAGGTATAATATATAATGAGAAATGTGAAATAAAGCAGCAACGCTGCATCGGCCTTAAACAACTTTAATTTTTATTCACTTCTGGCTCTTTAAATTTAAATTACATGATAGCTATTGTGAAATATCAATGGCATTAACATTTTGAAGGATATACAAATAATGCATGAATTTAAAAAAAAAACCGAAATTGTTGTCAGGTGCAATAAGGTAAGCGTTTAATTCCCATTTTTACCAGGGCCATAATCACATTAAACGAGCACCCATAAATACAATTATCAGCTGCTGTGGTGCGACAGGGAGGGCCAGGACAGCAGTAACACACAGCAGTGTGTGTGTGTTTGTGGATGTTTGTTGTGCTTTCGAGAACATCGCGATGTTCGTATCAAAGAACATTTTCATACAATAATCACGTTTGTCGGGCCCTTCCGCTCCGCGAGTGGAGCCTCGATTGAATTACGCCTAAAATGCTGCAACAATTTTTCACTTTATGCGATATTATGCTGCAATTATGTGTGTCATCCTTCGAGCCCGTCCCTCTCCGGCACCGCCGCACCTCCCTGGGCCTAGGTTTTTCGGCCAGGCAACGAGGACATCGTTGTTGTTTGTTGCGTCAAATAAATTTCCAGCAGAAAGCAATTAAGTCGCGAATTAAGTACGGCGCATAGGACACGCAGGATACAGCAGAGGCACAAACACACATGCCTTGCCAGGACATGAGGCAATCACGTACGTCGGCATATGTGTGTGTGTGAGTCTGCCATGTCTGCCCGGCTGCCTCGTTTTTCCGCTTTTCCTGCTTTTCCTGCCCACTTTCCCCCCAAACCTGCTCTGGCTGCGTGCTCAAAGTTTTAACGCGTTGTAATAAATGTTAATTTTGGCCCGACGAAAATCAACATTTATGGCGTGTTTTATGTGAGCTTCAACATATTTTCCGTGTTGCTGGTTATTTTTGCCCTGGCCGGGATTACGCTCTGCCACCTAACCGCCCTGACCCGCCCGCAAGGTTTGTTTGCTCTCGTCCGGGCTTTATACTTAAAAAATATAATTATTTATTGATCTACAAACAAAATTAACATCTAAATGATACGGTGGTGCACCGTGGCACCCTGGAATGCAGCCAGCGATTGTGCGACATTTCATTTGCCGTGAACAAACATAATTAAGTTCAGTCAAATGAATTTTCAATTAACCGTAAAATTTTATTTGATACTTCAACTGACTTAATTTCAATTGAATTTGCAGTAAAATAATTTCGGGTTTCAACTAAAGTCACGATTGGGCTATACCCTGTTTTCGATAGGTATGCTATGCGGGAGATGGTACTACACAACTATATGGTTTACTCTATGATGGGTTTCTGATAATATTTTTTCAATAATTGAACTTTAAAAACAATTGTGTGTCTTGGCTCTTTTTAAACACCAAGTCGAGCTCTTTTGTGGAAAACTGATGAGTTCATAATCCAAATGTGTCACGTTGAATCAGGCAGAATTATTCGGTTCATTGGTTTGTATTTTTCTATGTTTTGGGGGGGCGAGCGGAGATCGCCTAAGTGTTTATTGCATAGCCACTGGCAATCCCATTGAGTATGCAGCATAAATAAATAGCATAATTTGTGTTTTACAAATTTGTGCGATTACACACATCCAGTTTTTTTTTTACCAGCTTTAGGGGGAATAACAATTATTTGTAAAGAGATTTTGAGTCTGTGAGGGCGTGAGTGTGTTTGCATAAAGTTAATTAAATTGTTTGCATGCGGCATTAACTTCTAATTAAATTTGCTTTAAATCAATACAAAGGGAGAGATTTCCAATGGCATTTTTGAATAATTTTGATCCTGTCTTTAAAGCAAATTTAATCAACTATTTGGAACTAAGCAAGACGGCCTAAGGCCACCTCCGGCTAGCTATATACAGATATACGGGTATATATATATATATATATTTATATATTTGTGTGGCGTGTTAGTGCAAGAGTAAAATTCTGTGTTGTATTTCTTTGTTGAGGTTATTTGGAAAACACAAACGATAAACGCTATATGAGCATCATTTTCACAAGCTATTTCTTTGTCATTCATAGTATACTTTGAAGATATTTTTGAGACCCCTAATTAATTAATTCAAATTATGATTGACACAGACACATTGTGGATGTGTCCCCAAAGAAATCAGTTCGTGAAAATGGGGCATTAGGCAAACGTATTCGCAGAAATATCAAAATAATATCAACCAAAAATAATTAGGCAGCTCATAAAACAAAACAAAAAAAAATCAGAAAAAAAAGAAAACATAAAAGGGCAAAAATGTATCGAACGCAAACAGAAAAAGAGAAGGTTCGAAAAGTATAGAAAAATATATAGTATATAGCCATACCGCAGCTGCAGCAGCGACAGCGGTGGCGCGTGTTTGGGCCGCTTTTAATTGTGCCTGTAGGTGCAGGGGGGGATGGAAGTAGCGGCAGGGGTCGCGTGCGCACCTGCCCTTCACGGCGTCCATGCAAACCGTTATCGAGCCGTCGTCGTGCCTGGCGACGCTATCCTGCGGATGCGCGAACCGGCATTCAGATTCCGCCCGTTTGCAGGCGCCGCGCAGGAATTCGCGGCACACCTGGATCATTAGGCCACCATCATCATCATCATTGCCATCATCATCATCATCATCATCATTATCATCATCATCGTCATATTTAGGGCCAACACACACACACACACACACATAAGCGCAAGAAGTTGAGGTTCATCGGCGGTGGGCGGTGAGCGGTACGGTTCGGTTTTGGTATTTTTGGTTCATCAGCGAGCGGTTCGGTTTTGGTTTCAAGTTTAAGTTTGGTTTTTTTTTTTAAATACATTGTTTTTGGATTGCAAATGTGTGTTTCGTACACAGGTGTATTTTGCATATAGTCGGTTCGGTTTTCATTTTTGGAGTTGCAGCATTGTTGATATCGTTATCGGTTGATTGGTAGATTTGGTTGATTGGTAGATTGGCGTTGGGCGTTGGCAGCGGATAGCAAAAGTGGCAGCAGTTGTGGTTCAGAGTGGATCAGTGGTGGTTTTTTATTTTCGGTTTGGTGTGTGTGTGTGGTTTTCAAGGCGGAGAAGGTGTGTATAGGTGTGTGTGTGTGTAGATTGGGTGTGTGTATGTGTGTTTTGTTTGGAAATAATGGAAGGATATTCAGTAAGAAGTTCATTTCTTTTGTTTTGTTTATACTTTTTATATTTTTGTTGTTTACGTTTTAGTTTTCATCAAAAGAAAAGTTAAGTATTTGCGCAAAAATATACGAGTATATATATTTTATCGATTCGTTCCAAGTCAAAATTGAAGGCAAGTTGTTTGGGTTTTAGTGGTTAGAGCCGATACGGATGCATTTCAAATTGGGTATTATTCATGTTAGTTTTTCGGTTTTTTTTGTTTCGATTGACTATTTTGTTGTTTTATCGTACTTTTGGTACTTGCCTCTTGGAATTTCTTCTCAGTTTTTATTTTATATATTTTTTTTTGGTTGTTGATTCGATTTTATTCTACATGCCGATTAGTTTTCAAATGGTTTCTGTTTATTTCTTTTTTTGGGTTGGTGCACTTTAGAGTACGATAAAAACACAAGAAAAACACGTAGCACAAACATAACAAAAGAGAACAACGGGAATGCACGGATTATTCAAAATCAAGAATAAACTAAAACACAAAGACGTTACGGGGAGCTCGGGTTGGACTGTCTGTAGATAGTATTTCGGTGTCTGCTGATTCAAAGTAAATAATGGCTCGGATCTCCAAGGAGTAACTCAAAATCAAAGTCTAGAAACGACTACCAACTCTATGGCACTAAAGAATCTCGAGGGTAGACCTTTAAAACATTGTCTACAGGACAACAGAGCTACGGAAAAAAGTCTAGGATTCTAGGGGGTCTGGAGATGGAATGAAAAGAGAGCTTCCCCTACTCATAAACTAAAAATATTGGCTTGGTTGAGAGATCTAGGCGAAAACTAAAATATTAAATGAAATCTGCAGATATCTGTGCAAAGAATCTTTTTTAATAAATTTTAAGATACATTTCCTTTCGGGCTATTTACACAGGATTGGAAAGCTTCCTAATAAGCTCCTGAGAAGCAGCTGCTAGGCAAAGCTGCTATAAAAGTGTGATCGATAGATATTATTATCGATCTTTTTGAATTTGAATACTTAGGTACTTTTGTTTTTTGATTATATAAAAAAGAGTTTAACAAATAAAAGTAATAGAACCGTTAGACAATAATATCAAGTTTTGTGATTTATTTGGTTTTTAATTTGGCGGTGTTAGACAAATACGAATGTGTGTCAAAAAACGTTTTCGAATCAATTCTGGTTATTGGCGAATTTGGTATTTGATCGCAATTAAGCTTGATCCTTGGCAAACTTAAGAAAACTCAAAACTTTTGTACAATGTTTTCGGTTTTAGTTCGCAATATTTGTATACGTAGATTAATTCTAATTAGAATTGTAAATACATGCCACGAAAATAAATAATAACAATCATAAGTATAACATCTTGTTTCGTTGCGTGTAAGTCTCGCCGGCGAACAAACATAATAAATTAACAAAATTTATTAAAAACGTAAGCGTAAATTAAATCGCAGTAAATCGACTTCCATGGATACATAAGCGTATTTATAAAAATATTCAAGTAATTGTAAAGACGGGGAATCGCCCGGAACTCACCTCTAATCTGTCGGAACGTGGTATTTTCTGTTGGGCCACCTGCACTGTTTGGGGGACGACGGGTCCCAGCTGCGAGGCCACGGCCGTATGATCCGGAGTCAGCAAGGTGGGCACCAGGTGTCCCGTTGCGTAGTAGGGACTGTACGAGTTGGCCGGAATGCCAGTCAGATAGGGATTTGTGGCCTGCAAGAGTTCGGTTGAGTTGGTCATTAGGTCATTTATCAAAATAATTCATCATCCTTCAGGGCGTAATTACATTAGCTGTCATCCGCATGGATTTGGAGGAAATGTTTTCCTCGTAATGGATATATTATCTACCTATGAATAATGCCCCAAATGTGTATTAAAGCACTTCTGTTTTCATCTCAAACATCGAATCAGCCCCTTTTGAAGCCTAATGACTCAACACCCCATTGTAAGCCCTCCACTGACCATAAACTGACCCTTTCGTTTTGGCACAAATTATGCTTGGCACGCACTGGCTTACCCTTTTCTCTTTTTTTGGGCCTGTTCGGCTAAAGGCCATAATGAAAATTCATGCATTTTTCAACAATCAACATGCCCCCTAATGATGGCTGTCGTTTAGCTGCAAATCCACAGAAAGCATGTCGCAAATTATTTGAGAATTAATTTTCGATTTGTTATAAAAACGGAAGGCGACCAATCTCTCTCCCTGTCAGGACCTGCATGAATAAAACATTCCTCGTCCTCATACCCTTTGGCACCCAATTTCGCGCACTTTCAATTCCCATTTTCCATTTTTCATTTTATTTTTCTTGGCTGGTATTTCGGATATTCATGGTCATGGTTGCAAGGAGAACTTCGCTTATAAATATTCATATTTCCCCCCGGTGGTAAACGCGTAATGGTAGGAGGAGGTCAGCAAAAGGTCCGTAGGGTGGAAAATTCAATTAAAGTATTAGACCGGCACTTACCACGGTTGGCACTTGGCTCGATATAACCGGCTGGCCGGGCGCGATGCCCATCTGTTGCATCAGTGCATTCTTGAGGGCCAAGTGATTGCGTCCATTTATCAATAATTGATCCTTCAGATGCTGTGGTGGATGAAAATATTTGCACGGCGGTTTATCACGATTACAGCGGCCCTGTGAACGAAAAAATTTGAAAGGAAATATCTTAGTATGTTTAGCAGATTGTTAATAAATTGCCCGAACTGACAGCCGGACAGGTTTATGAGGGGCGAAGGCCAACAAAAAGGAAAGTCCTTTTGTCATTTCAAATAAATTACTGGAAACAAATTTATGTTAATGTTCTCGATGGTGTGGGCTGTGTCTTGTTTAAAAATTAAAGTTAGTTCTTGGATCGTAATCTTATTTTAGGGTTAGACCTTGTAACCATCAAGGCCTTCTTGTTTTTTCTTGTACCAGGAGTCTCTTGTAGTTTCCACTATAAATTATTAGGAATTTTCAGTCCCTTTGATATTCCCAAAATTGAAAGCTATTAAAAAGTTTCTTTGCCTGCAATAAGTGCTTTCCCCTGTAATTTCTGTTATCCTTGGCATGACCCGGAGCTCTGAATAACTTCGTGTTCGTGCTGTCAACACATTGCTGGCCCAAACCCGGCCCAATTAACTGCATGCAAATGCGAATGCAATTTTCTTTCGAAAAATTGGAGGGAAATCAAGATGGCCGAATGCCGCAGGAACATGAAACAAGGCTCCGGCTAGCATACTTTTGGGCAATATGGTGGCTCGCAACTCGATTTTAATTGCGCAAAAGTAAAATTTCACTTCATTAGCAGGTGTAATTACGGCCACGGATTAACGCGGCTCACACTCTCGTTTTTAAGCCGAAATGTCAACAATAATTATAATGGCCGAATGAAAAGAATGCGGGGGCAGGAGTTGGCTAATGCGCCCTGATGCATGCAACATGGCATGTGGAAAAGGGATTTGCAGGAAAAAAACGAGGGCAGCCAGAAGGCAGGCGGCAGGCAGGCAGTCGGGCCAGCAGGCAGGCAAACAAATATGCATGTAAATTATATTTAATTCAGAGCAAATGAAGTTAACAAATATTTGCATACAGCGAGCGACTCAACAACGACTCCCGGCCAAAGTTGCACAAAAATGAGAGAAGTGCAAAGAAAAAAGTACAAATTTATATGTAAAATGGAAAATTGTGTGTGCATAAATTGATTGTTTGCTCTGGTCAGTGGAGGACAGCCAGCCACCAGCCAGCAGTAACAGTAGCAGTGTTGCGAGGACATGCCAACTCGATTTGGGTTTCCTTTTCTTCTTTTATGCTTTTCTGATTTTCAGCTTTTACTCGTTTTTTTGTATGTTTTTTTTTTGCCCTGCTGGTGATGGCATTTAAAATTTATGATGCTATGAAAGCTGTACAAGATTTATGGCGCCAAACAACTGGCGCTAACTCAAAAATAATTGTTGCCGAACAACATTTCTGTTTACTTTTATTTGTGCTGCTGCGATTCTGCAAATATTTGCTAGCTATTGACAAATGTGGGACAAACAACTAGCAGGAGTAACTTTTTAATAAACTCAAAACTATCAGAAGAGACAAAGCCATAAATTTGACTAATTAATTGTCAAATGGCATCTCACTGGTGGGCTTCTTGTCTAAGCGCTGGATAAATATTTGGAAGGACAACAGAATACTTTGAATTGTTGATTCGCAATTTCGATCAATGCACACACAGCACACAAAATATTTATTGACAAGCAGCAAATATTTTTCGCCTTCCTTCTGCGCCAAAAAACTTTCAATCAGCAACTGTCGGTGGAAAATGGCAACTTTCAGGACATTCGCTCTGACACTCAGAGACTCACACAGACACCCAGACACTCCGACAAATGCAAACGCACATGAATGGCAGCCACTTTGGGATATTTGTTTGTGCTTATTGGCGCCATTGGCTGTAATTTAATGCCTCGCTTGAGTTTATTCAACAACAGCAACCGATTGCAGCATTTGTATCTCCATTTGTATCTGGTTCGGTCCTGTATCTGCCATCCACTTGCTGTTGATTGCACTAATTTGCTTTAATGAAATACTAATGCAATTTTTTAGAGCGCTCTCACTTGTTGCCTTTTCGATTTACAGGACTGCTAACTGGTAACTGGGTTAATTGCCACCTGATGACCCTCCGCATCGTGCTGGCCAATTGAATTATCATTGGAAATAAACTGAATGTGTTAAGTTATTGATGAATCTATAAATCGATTTGGCGTCAGCTTCTTTCCATTCAAGAGCTTTGCCAACAAATTTAAATTGCATTTGCCGACCACAATCAAATAAGACATTATTCTTCAGGACAGTCCAAGGAAGATCCGTGGTGCTCCGAGGGACAGACATTATCTGCGAGTGCCAAGCGTTTTCCGTTTCACCTCCTTGCCGGCAGGAAGGGAGACTTGGTCCTGGGACCTGGGGGCAATTTCGTTCTTGTGGCTGGCGCCCGTAGATATGCAACACTTTCTTTCCACTGCCGCTTGACACTGCCACCGCGATTTCGGTCCCTTTTTCCTGTCTATTCTCACTTTTTTTTACTATATTTTTTTTTTCCACACGCCACACTAAACATTTTCATGTCATTTCGATTGTAATCTGCATGACTGCCTCTCTCCTTCGGCGTGCAAAAAAGTGTGAGCGAGAGAGTCAGAGGAAGAGGATGAGGGCGAGTGCGAAAATTGCAAATGGTGTCCACTCACGCACGCAGGAGGAAAAATGGCAAAAATGGCGACAGGGAGGGAGGCTTGGGAGCATATTTGCATTGCCAACGTTCGCGTTGTGCAACTGAAACTGGAACTGGAACCCTTTTTAGAGCATTCGGTTGGCTTTTTTGCTCGCAACGCTTCTTGTTTCACAGCTCCGGTCTGATGCAGATTATCCGCTTTAAATTGCAATGATTACTTTTTCGCTTTCCTCTTCTATTTTTTCACTCCATACTTCTCTTCTTCCATTTTTTCTTTGGATGGGATATATAGTAGTGATGGCATTTCAGAGCCATTTTTCTTCTTTTGCCAGGCCATTCGAAACAATGTCGCTGTCGTCTAGCATTCTGGTTCTGGGAATGGAAAAATGGAGGAGGCGGGTAGCCGGAGCGAACCGGCATTGGCTAAGGAATTTCTCATGTTTTCATGCCAAGTGCAAGTCAGGTCCAGTCATGTATATCGTCGCGTATCGCATTGCCATTTGGTCGACATGCGTCTTGGGATGCCTTTCTGCTCCTGCCCCTCCCGGCACCTTCTTGGAGCGCAGCTGCTGCCCATCAACTGGGAGCAGCAAAGCTGGGATCGGGGATCCACAAGCCAGGAGCACTCAAGACCATGTCCTCGTCCTCGTCCAAGTCGTTGGGTATTAAATGTCATTTTGCATTTCGTGACAAGTTGGCTAATCTGACTCGAAAGTTATTTATTTCTTCTTTGTTGAGTGCAAAGGAATTTTTCTTACACTTTTTTTTTTTTTTTTGCCCTTCGAGCTTCTCAGCTTCTAGCATTTTCATGGCGTTTGCTCAGGGTTTCTGTTTGCTCGGAACTCGGAACGCTCTCTGCCCTTCCAGAGAGTTGGGCTGTCCCCATAGTAAGTTTAGCTACTTTTCTTCAATTTGGCGGCGATAGGAATCGCCTTTGAATGTTAATAAAACGGATTTTTATGCAAATTTAAAACTGTTTAGTGGTTCGACTTTGCTATGCATTAAGTGGGGAAAAAATGCGACCCCGTCTGGGGTTTTACGCCAAAATAGACAAAGAGTTTGGAATAATGCGAATGAAATATGTTTGCTGGGAGAGATAGTGGGAAATGGTCTTAAAGTTGAACTGATTTTGGTTGGTTTTCTTTAATACTCATACATTATAGAGGGCATTGCTGGAGTTTCGAACTCGCAGTACAACTTATGATAAGCCACTTTGGCCCACACACACAAATTGCATGTCCCCCAAAAACTTGCCTCCATCCATTGGAAACTCCATTTAAGGCTTTACATAAAACATAAGCAGAAAATGTTGCCGAGTAAAAATGAACAGAAAAAGAAAACAAGCATAATTCCTGACACTCTTCTCTTGTATTTTTTTTTATTTTTTCTGCCTTATTTCGGCCAAGCCAGTTGCCAAAAAATTTAATGCAAACTAACGACACTACAAGCTTTAGCACTTTAGATGCAACCCACACACACACATCCCTGCCGAAAGAGACAGTCTGATGGGGTTTAAAAGAGAGGGCAATAGTGAAAAACTATTTTAAACGCTTAACGGAGAACTCAATTTATTTTCACTTGGCCTTCCTTCACATACACACTTGTGTTAGCTGGAAACGTGGCTCAATAACACAAACAGCAAATAGAGATAATCAAAAAGCAATTGCAAACAACAAGCAAGCCTCAAAATAGCCAGAAGACCAGAGAATGGGGGGCAGGGGAGAAAAATGCTGTGGACACAGTGAGATATTTATTGTATAAATGCCAGCTACAAAATAAATTAAAAATGACAATTCACCGTAGGCATGGCCTGGGAAATCAAGGCAATTTTCCATGTGCCACACACAACTGCAACGGCAATGGCAACGGTGGTGGTAGCAATAAAAGCAACTAGATGCACCATAGTTTGCAGTTTAATTTTCAATATGGCTAGCCGGCAGAACCGAGCGAGCATTGAAAATGAAAATATTTTCCTGAAATGCAAACAAATTGGCAAAAGGCAAATGGTCAATATTTGCCGGCCATAGGAGCCAGGGAAAAGTGTTTGCCCGGCCCAGGACAAAACAATGGCTAAAAGCTGGACGGAACGGGACGGGGCTGTGGGGGGGATATTTTTCGAGAGCAGGAGGCTATGCCAGCGAGCAGGGGATTGGTTGTCTACCGACGGCGGCGACCAGCGGCGCATGTTAAGCGATTTGCTTCAGACAAAAGGCAGCCAGCGGCTGTATCTGCAGTCACTGAACTCCTCCTAAAAGTATGCTGCGAAAAATAGCCGTGCGTATATGTGTTTTTTTTTCTCTTCTTCTTTTACCGTATCTCCGTGGAGTTCTATGTGTGAGAGTGTGTCTGTGTTGCATGGGAAACAATGAGCGTGCCTCGACTTCTGCGGCCATGTTTTTTTTCAATCAGGCGTTCGTTTCCTCATTCATTTCAGTCG